AAGACATTTAAAGGGGTGTAAACCTAGGCCTGCGCATATGTAAATATATTAATATAGAACGATAGGGATTGAGGTACATATATTTATAGATTGTGATAGGGAGGCTTATTGTGCCAACCTGGCCCATAGGAACATGTGGGATTAATCAAGTTGCAGTTGATCGGAGGGCAAAGAGATAAATGGCTCGGCCAGGCCCATCCCTCTCTCTCTTGCTCTCTGGCGATTGGACCAACATGCTTTTTAGCTAGTTCTCTGCCTCACCTTGTGAGCTACACCACCTGTGGGACAAGCTAACCCGTGGATCATCTCGCTAGAGCTCGAGGTTCCTTTGGGACTGTTTCGCCATGCTGCTGGTGTGTCCACTGCTTGAGCTTGAGGCTGGTGGATCCTGTCATCTTGCACTGCTTGAGGTCGATATCCCATCGGGGACTACTTCGCTAAGCTCCTAAGCTGCTGACTGTTGGTGACCTGCCCTGCTGTTTGCTGCCTGTGGGCAGACTGTGCCTGCATCGCCCAAGGGAACAAGCAGCCCTGTGAGTTGAAGGACTTCCAGTATATTAACTATCCCATGGAAGTGAGTTGAACCGAGCCCTCTGTACTGCTGTGTGGACTAATTAGCTGTTATATTCCTTCATGCTGTATAAACCTATGTATATATTCAAGAGTGTCCTGGTTTTGTTCCTCTAGAGAACTCTGCCTAACACATGGATTAAGTATCAAGGCAGCAGACAACCATTGGGCCTCTACTCAAGCCCTCCCTCAAGGCAAGAACACTTTGTTCTAATAACCTGGCATTCTGTGATGCTCACCTTCCCGACACAATTGCTGAAGACAAAATGGGTGCATAAGCTAATGGGGCCTGACTCTTACAAGATATAGTGTCTGGGGTCTTAAAGACTTAATGTTAAACAAGCAGCCATCTAGCAGGGAAACAACAAAACCCACATGGAGGAAGCACACCAACCAGTGTGATCACAAGGTGTCAACAGGATCAGGTGTTAGACATCAGAAGACCCCAAACAAACCACCATTTTGATGCAAAGGAGGAGGTCAGAATGCAGACCCAAAGCCATCTGTGGACAGCTGGACTTTCCCTCACAGAAAGGTCACAAAGAAGGGATCAGCCAGCCAGGGTGCAGTCTTGCATTGACGAGACGCACAGCATTCTTCTAGTTCTTTAATGCTTCCTCTCCCCAACTATCATGACCCCAGTTCTAGCTTAGAAATCTGGCTAGGCCAGAACATGTGCACTGACACAGATAAGAGCTCTTGACACATGGACTCCAGGACAGATAAACCCCTCAAGACCAATATTGAGAGTAGGGATACCATGAGGGTAGGGGGAAGGTAGGGGGAGAAGCCAGAGAAAGGGGAAATCGATGTACACCCCCTCACTCCCCACCCTGCCGCTGTCAGGGGGAAGAACAACAGAAACATAGGTAAAGGGAGAAATCAGATGGTGTAAAATATGTAAATAAAAATAATTTATAAAATATCAAGGGTTCACAAGGGTGGGGGAGGGGAAAAAAGAGGAGTTGATACCAAGGTCTCAAGTAGAAATAAAATGTTTTGGAAATGATGATGGCAACATATGCACAAATGTGATTGATACAATTGATGTATGGATTGCGATAAGAGCTGTAAGAACCCCCAATATAATGATTTTTTTTTTAATGACATTTTGTATGTACAATGGGGCTTCAAAAAGTTCATGGACCAATGGAATGAAAAGACAATGGAAATTCTCCAGGGACTCTTTGGCCCTCCTTTGCATCTATGGCAATGAGCCGGTGCTGGGCAGGAAAAGGGGACCCGGGTAAAGGAGATGGAGGTGGAGGGCGGTGGCCCTGTCAGTGGGAGGGCCAGGACTGTCGAGTGAAGGTCTGAGGCAGGGAAGTACAGACACCTGAGGAACAGCATCCCAGGCAGAGGGAAGGCTCGGGCGAAGTCGGAGGAGTGTCTGTGTTGAAGATGAGCGGCTGCCTGTTGGGCAGAGGCGTGCTGTGTTGAGCATGGTCGAGCCAAGGAGAAGAAAGAGCTGAAGTCAGAGAAGCCGTGGGTGGTCATTGGCTGTCTTGGTCATCTAGTGCTGCTGCTACAGAAATGCCTCAAACAGATGGTTTCAGAGAACAGAACTTTATTCTCTTAAGGTCTAGAAGGCTAAATGCCCTGGTGGGGCGTGGCTCCAGCAGAGGCTTTCTCCCTGTGTCAGCTCTAGAGGAAGTCCTTGTCCCCTTTCCACATCTTGGGTCTATAGCCCTTGGATTATCTCATAAGTCTTGGTATCAACCTTCTCCTGAGTCTAGGAGGTTCTCAGCCTCGGGACCCAGGGTCCAAAGAACATATTCTGCTTCCAGCTCATTTTTCTTGGCAGCATGGGGTTCCTTCTTCTCTGCTGGCTCCTCTCTCCTTTTATTTCTCATAAGATAATAGTGCCCCTCACATCACATGAAATCTGTGATGCGAGTAAGGGTGTTGCTTCCCCCCGCCCCCTACAACTGACTGGCTGATCACAGCATGGGGGTGATTATATCATTACATAATTGCCAAATGCCGACAGCTTTACGTAGCTGCCAAACCACTGGGTGCCATGGCCCAGCCAAGCTGACACATATCTCGGGCAAACACGAGTCAATTCCTGGCGCTGGCATCAGAGGCTGGGTGATGCAGGACTTTCTGGGTTTCAGGACTCTGGTCTTTGCTTGAGTGCTTGGAGCATCCTAAGCAGGAGTGGCTGAATCTGAGTTACTGGACAGGAGAGTCCTCTGACTGTCATGTTGGGAATAACTGTATGGGGCCAAGGCAGGAGCTGGGAGACCAGCAAGAGATGGCAGTGGCTCCATCCAGCATGCTGGGCAGTGAGAAGCCATGGGCTGCTGGAACAATTTTGGGGAGAGCCAACAGGAGTCGGTCAATGAGTGCAAGAGGGGCGTCAAGAAAGGCTCCAAGAAAGGGGGAACCGATCACAAGGTTGGCTACATAGCCACCCCACCACCGCCGGGGGATGAATAACAGAAATATGGGTGAAGGGAGACCAAGGACAGTGTAAGATACAAAATAACGATAATAAGGTATCGTTGATCAAGGATTCACGAGGAGGGCAGGAGGGTGGGGGAGGGAGGGGGGAAAAGAAGAGCTGATACCAAGGGCTCAAGTAGACAGAAAGTGTTTTGGAAATGATGATGGAGACATATGTACAAGTGTGCTTGATACAATCGAATGATGGATTGATATAAGATGTGTAAGAGCACCCCCCCACACACAATAAAATGATTAATAAATAAAGATTACTAAAACAGAGAGTAAAAAAACAAACAAAAAACAGTGTCAGTATTTTTAATGTGTATATAAAAAAATCTTTGTTTTGGAAACTCAGTGTGGTAGTTACAACATCTGGTGTCAGCTTGAGACTATTAAGAGTGAATGGGGTGGAGTTTAGCCAGTCAATCAGTTCACAGCTTGATGACTCATTTGGAGGCGCTACATAGATAAATAGCTCACTGGAGGCCAGACCCACCTGCTCTCCCTGCAAGAAAATCCTGTTGACAAGCCACATGGAGCTAAGCCACTGAATGGAGCGAGACCCTCAAACCTGGGGGAGTCAAGTGGAGACCCCTGTCAGCTCTGAGATACTTCCAACACCACTGGATCCACAAGACTTGCCCCCTTCCGGCCTGTGATCGTCCTGCATTCAGCGTCATTGCATGTGTTGCTTGAGTCTGAAGAGGACTTTATAGACTGGTATCGGATATATGGGCTAATATCAGACTTATGGACTTGATCTGGACTAGACTGGGGTGTTTTCTCAGTATACAATTGCTGCTTTATATAAAGCTCTTTCCTATACACATACGAGTGCCTATGAATTTGTTTCTCTAGTCAACCCCCGGACAAACATACTCAAGACTTTTTTAAAAAGAAAGAAAGAAAGGCTCCAGGGCTTTAGGTCTGAGCAAGTGCGGGGAGAGATGGCAGGCAGAGTCCCTGGGGGAAGAATGTGGTGGCTGCAGAGCCTAGACACCCGAGTGGAGATTCCAGGGGGGCAGCGGGCAGGCAGGACTGCTGTAGGTGGTCACACTGTCCTATGAACAGCATGGCGATCTGTGAAGCAGAAGGGTCTGTTGCATTTCTGCTGGAGGGTATAGAAGGGGTCAGTCATTCTCTACCCCCCCCCCCTCCACTGTGCCACTAGCCCTGTTCTTATCTCCAGGGCTTCCTCCTCGGGCTGCTGCTCTTGGGGGCTGGCAGATAAGATCAGGAAAGAGCTTGTGACAAGGCTGGCCCAGGGCAGACACTGGACAAGTACGAGCGGCGGCATGAATTGAATTATTCTCTCTCTGGAAAGATACTGCACTGCCTTCTTCTGCACAGGCCCGCCTGCAGGACATCACTACCTGTTAACTGGAGTGCGGCCTTAAAAAGAGCTGAAGATGGTGAGTTAACAGGGCGGCCACAGAAGGGTTAAGCAACCTGGGGCTTCAATGAATTGCGACAAGTCGGGGCAGCAGTCCCCCAGCACAGCCCTTGCCGGGGGAAGAGGTGCCAGTGCCCATAAGCACATGGTAAAAAGAAGCTCTTCTCTATGTGCCCCACGCTGCCCGCCAGGTCTGACTTGATTTTTAATTGTCTCGAGGCCCCAAAGCCCCAGCTCTGTTATCACAAGTAGCAGGGAACTAACTCCTCGCTGGCAGGGAGAGGCCTTGGCAACCTGCTAGTCTCACACCTGCTCTGCCAGGGCCACGGGGACCAGCCAAGCACCCAGCCACACTTCCAAGCATAAGTAGCCACACCAGGCCCCACCTAGATTGAAAGTCTTCTCTGGAGAAATTTGTCAAAGACCCTTTGGGGCCCAAAGAATTCTTTTCAAGTGTTGAAAGATGCCTCAAAGGATGGATTTCCTTCGTCCTGGAAAAAACCATTAGCGTAAGTGGTTCTTGTACGCAGGCGGCACATGCCTTCAGGGAGGGAGCACAGAAACAGGAGAAGCCCCATCGGCCTACCTTCCTGAAGTCACGCTCCGTGATCTTTGCAGTGGGCTCCTTGCTGACGTCAAAGAATTGCTTCCTGAAGGTCGGGTTGGACTGCTGCATATAGTTTTTGAGCTTTTCAATCACTTCTTCTTTGGTCAGATTCTTGGTCAAGGGGCCTTTCTCCTTGGCGGATTTGATTCTAAAATTGCAAGCAGCTACGTTAGTCCAGAGCCAACATTCACACCTCGTGCTCCCTATAGACCCCACCCATTTTCTACTGAACCCCCCGCAACGTGGAGGCTGACCACTCCCTTTCTGAACCCAGAGGCAGACGCTTGAAAGGGCTAAGGGAGAGGACTTAGGGACTCCGTATCTGATTAGTCACTGGCTGGAAGGGGAAGTCAGGACCACACTGATGGGCCAACATGGGGCCAAGGTGCGGGGCAGGGGAAGAAATGGACCCACAGGTGCGGAGTCAGGGAGGTGACCTGTGCTTGAGGCTGGCTGGGCAGAACTGGCTGAAAAGGGACATTTTTATGAATGAAAAGTTGGAAGCTATTGGAAAGCTTTAAGTGGAAGTGGCCAATCATTTTGCTCTAAGTAGGTCCAGGGAATCACCACGGGTCCAGGCAAATGAAAGAGAGCCTCCATTGACCAGTGGGTGCATGAGATCAACTTGCTTTGGAAAACCTAAGTGTGACAAATGTAGTGTGTGTGTGTGTGTGTGTGTGTGTGTGTGTGTGTGTGTGTTTTCAGAGGGTAACCGTGTCCTCAGCTCTCTGGAAGTCTCTGTTGGCCCACTATGTGTGGAAAAGAGGAGCCCTGGTGGCATAGTGGTAACGCGTGGGGCTGCTAACCACAACGTCAGCAGTTCGAAACCACCAGCCGCTCCGAGGGAGGAAGATGAAGCTGCCTGCTTCTGAAAAGAGCGTCAGATGCAGAAATCCACAGGGGGCAGTTCTACCGTGGCCTATGCGGTCGCTGTGAGTTGGCACCCACCGTGAGTTTTGGTTTGCTGTGTGGAAAACCGCATCAGCCATCAGATGCTCAGGGAGAACAAACTGCTGCTCCCCCTCTCAGCCTCTTCCCACTCGTCAGAGTGCTCCGGGAGGACGGAAACCGGCTTTACGACCTGCTTACTTGCCATTACTTCCTTCACTGCCTTTCAGAGGCGGACCTATCATACCACGGGATGGCTAACCTTCCTCTTAAAATACCATCTTCCTTCCCAGTTAGAAGGGCCCAGATTATTCGAAGGCCATTAGCATGCCATTAACATATCCTCACTGCTCTGGCCTTTGGAGCTTTGTGAGCGGATGTGACATAGATGGACCCTTCATGCATCCGTATGGATTTATGATAAGCGATCCACCAGGAAGTTAAACTCAGGTCTTCTCATTGAACTAAACCTATATTTTTCAATGAATACGAGCCCCCATATTCGTTGGCCTGATTTTTGTTGAAGGTCCACTAACCATGGTTTAGGGTTACGATTTAATTTGGCGAGCATGTTGTCTATCATCCACATAAAGAAAACGGGGACCAGCTTAGTGGCAGGGCTCTTCTCGTGCGTATTAAGAAGGCGGGAAGAAGCCTCCATTTCCGGGTGAGACTGAGTGTGAGGCAGGCGTGGCACAAGCAAGTGGAGAGCCTCAGGTAAGTCCCAGGACTGCTCAGACCTCCGCACTCGGCATAGTTCAAGTTAACATGCAGACTGAGTCCTGGTTACAAATTGGGCTGCCGACCACAAGGTCAGTAGTTCAGAACCACAGTTGCTCCGAGGCAGAAAGATGGGGCTTTCTGCTTCTGGAAAGAGCTACAGGCTCAGAGACCCAGAGGGGCAGTTCTGCCCTGTCCTACGGGGTTACTGTGGGTCAGCATCGACTCGATGCCAGTGAGCTTGGTGTGCTTTTTCTCCTTGCTGGAACACACCATGGGTCTGATCACTGTCTGGACAAGAGACCGCCTTTCTCATTTCAGTGATTTAATGTTAAAATATGGGCCGGCCAGTGTTTACTGAGGCTCAATTCCCAGACAGGCACTGCCATCCTGACAGGGAGAGCTCTCGTTGCGGGGTCTCCATTACCTCTTGGGAAGATCGGGACGCTGCGGATCCTCCTTTGGGACACACTCACTTGGCGGGGGACCCGCTGGGGTGGCAACCGGAGAGGAAATGCACCAGCTGTGGCCCCCTAGGCTGGCCATCAGCTTCTTGTAACAGATTCTTCCAGAAGCAATATCCTGAAACTTACTGCAGAGTCTGAAGGGTAAAGACAGTGAAAACGCACCCGTTAGGATGGCCCTAAGAGACTTGACCTTCCCAAGTGTTGGCGAGGATGTGTGGCCACAGACCCCTCACCCCCAACCCCCGTAGGAATGTATGTACAATGGTCCAATCACCTCTGAGTAAGAAAGCCAGGCATGGGGGTGTGGAGTGGGGAGGGGATGGCACTCGGACTTCACCCCCCAGCCATTCTGCCCCAAGCTATCTGCCCAAACGAGACCAACATGCCCGTCTGCCCAACATGCCGGTCTGCCTGTGTCAATAGAGAGAGGAGCCATGTTTATAGTAGCCTGAAGCCGGAAACCAGCAGATGAACTGATGTGTACACTGTGGTGGGATTACCTGGGGAATACTACTCAGCAGTGAAAAAGGAAGGGATCACTGACAAACCGTATGTCGTGCCAGAGAAGAGAGGATGGGAGGTGCTTCCTTTTAAACCCTCTCCAATGGAAACCGAGCCGCAGTGACAGGAAGTAGGTCGGTGGTTGTTTGGGGGAGAAGGGCTGGTGGACGAGAAAATTGCAGATGTGGAAAGGGGAGCTTAGGGCCTGACAGAAAAGTCGTGTGTGTGTGTGTGTGTGTGTGTGTGTGTGTGTGTGTGTCTGTGTCACGGTGTCAAAATCTGATGAGGTTCATCACACGGTCTAATTTAAATAGGCAAGGCTATTGTAGGCAAAAGGAGCTCAGGTGGCACAGTAGTTAAGCGCTCAGCTGCTTCCCAAAAGGTCAGTGGTTCAACACCACCAGCCACACATGGGAGGAAGAAGAGGCTGTCTGCTCCAGTAAAGATTCACAGTCCTGGACACCCTATGGGGCAGTTCTACGCTGCTGTGGGATGTGATTCGCTCAGGGGCAGCGGCTGTTGCATGTAAATGGTTCCCATGGGGCGAAGGAACATTGCTTTTTATCCTTAGAAAGTTCAGGATGGGATGATGGAGATTTGCATATCAGGGCCGTGGCAGGTGTAAATGCTTTAGGAAAATGTGGATGCCACGGATATGCTAGTCTGGTGAGCCCAACCTTGAAGAAAGACAAGGATTTATTTATTTTCCTTTGTAACATGTTGTTTAATATTTTTTAGATTACACTGTAAGAGTTGTATGTGCTAATTATAACAAACTTGGTAAATATAAGTGCCTGAGAAGCAAAACAAAAATTTACATACCCATTAAAATTCTAAGGCAATGGAGTGTACTTGTCCTTAGTCTGGCTCTGGAATGTTGGCCTGCTGGGGGCTGGCGTGCCAACTCTGTACCTTCATGGTTCACATGATGGATGCAGCAACCACGGGGGTGCTCCCAGGGCACAACCAGGGCATCGGCCAGGTCACAGGTATTTCACAGCAGCACTAGGATGTTATGTTGCTGTGTGGCATGGACTGTCCAGCATTTGGCTACTAACACACCATTGGTGGTTCAAACCCAGGCGGGGGCCCAGCTGAAGGAAGGCCAGGTGGCCTGCTAGGGAGTACAGTTTTGCTCTGACGCTGGGCCATCAGGTCTTGGAGTCCACGTCACTGCTGTGGGCACTGACATTCTCCGCTTGTGCCCTCACTCTCTCACGTGGGGCCAGTGGAGTTTTCCAGAGAGGCTGTGTGGTGTCTGATGCCGCCATCTCACTGGCGCACACGCAGCCCAGGGCACCTGTGCTCTTGAGTTTCTGGGACTTTCTTGGGCTGCTGGCTGCGGGGACGCACAGGTGGTTTTCAGAAATGGGTTCTATTTCTTCATACTTCTGCTGGGCTCTGGACGCCGGCCATACATGCTGTTGTCGCTGCCACCTGGTTGCTGCGGGCGCTGGGTGCCCGTGTGGGGGTTACAGGCCAGAGGAGGCGGCTCAACCGGTGATCTTGATGGGTTTGCAGACGGACTTTTCCCACGGAGAGGCCGGGGGATTCAGATCACCAACGTTTCGGCGAGTGGCTGAGCACTTAATCATTGTGCCACCGCGGTTTGAGAGCTTGGGCATGATCCGACTTGCCGGGGAGACAGGTAAGACTGCTGTTCTCCGTGAGGAAGGGCAGATTGGAGAAGCTTCCATGTTTGCATCACTGCCTCCGTCCATTTCACTCCTTCCTCCCTTCAACACCTAGGAAGAGGCATGCTGCCGGGCACTCGGGCTTCAGGCGTTCATGGGTTCGATGCCCATGGGGACCTGAGACCTGCCGGGCACCGAAGCTTCCTAGGTGGAAACACAAAGACTTGCCCTCTAACTCCTGGGTGGAATGGCACAGGGGATGACGTGAATGGAACTGGGAAGAGCTGTGGCCAAGCTGCTCACGGGGCAGAGCAGGGTGAGGGCACTGGGCAAGGGAGGGTGGAGAGAGGGAGCAGTCCCTCTAAGTGGCCTTGGGTCATGACTGTTATCTCGCTGGTGACATGTCCAGTGGGGCTCTTCCAGCTTTCACTCCCGAAACTGCTCCTTGCCCGTGTCCCGTGTCTCCCGTGGCAACCCCGATCCCCCAAGTGGGTCAAGTCAGCAGGCCTCTGGATTTCTTCTCCTTCTCTCAGCCAAGGTGAGGGCCAAGTCCAGTCATGGCCAGCCCAAGCTGTGTCTCAAATCGCCAAGTGTTCTCATGATCCACTGATGCTTAAAGAACGATCTACCGCCGGCCTGACTGTTGGTCAAACCGGGGCGGCTGATGTCACTTCCTGGTCATGTTCCTCGGTGTGCTTGAGGAAGATGAGGCCGGGAGAAGGCTCGCCATAAGATGGACTGGCACAGTGGCTGCAACCATGCGCTCAGGCATAGGACCGACTGTGAGGTTGGCGCGGGGCCGGGGGCCGTGTTCCTTTCTGGGGTGCACAGGGGTGCTATGTGCTGGAACTGACTCAAGGGCGCCTAACAACATAACAACAACACACGAGCCCAGCACTTAGTAAGCAGCAGGCAAAGAGCAGCTGCGGTGGCACTGTGGACCGGCCACTGGGCTGTGAACCACAAGCGGTTGGGGAGAGTGAGAAGGCTGCCTGCTCCCATCAGTACTGACAGTCCCAGGAACCCGAGGGAGCCGCTCCACTCTGCCCTGCAGGGCTGCTAGGACTTCTAATCAGCTGATGGCAGGCGTTTGGTTTTTGATCGATAGTGCCTGTTCATGCTACCACCGAGTCAGTGACGCCCCATAGCCACCCCCCGGGGGATCCTGAGACGAACTGTTGGCAGGAGGAGGAAGCCCAGTCTTTCTCCTGTGGAGCTGCCAGTGGTTTTGAACGACTGACCATTGGGACCACGCAGCCCAGCGCGTCACTGTGACTCTCCCAGCCCTGGAAGAGGCCTCGCGTTCCAACCCCCAAGGTGGCGACAGGACAGGAATTGATGGCGTGACCGAGAGTGACTTACTGTCGTAGATGCTCGCCCGTCAAAAACGGGCAGACTGTGCTTATGATTTTCTTGAAGGTCGTCTGACTCAGGAAGCCCGTGTCTCCGCAGTCATAGGACCGCACCATCTGATAGAAGGCCGGCCTGTCCCGCAGGATCCCGCCACACACCATCTCTTCCACCTGCCATCCGGACAGAAGCATCTTTAACGAGCTGCGCCTTGGTGGTCGGAAGTGGTACCGATGTGACAGAAAGGCCACCCCCAGGACAAGGCAGGTGTTACTTACTGAGTTCCAGGCCAGAGAGAGAGGGTTAGCTTTAGTGCTAGTGAGCGGGGATCTCTTCCTGATCTAATGGGGAGAAAGAACGTATGTTAATGAAGTAATTCATGGGAGGCCACCGGATCTTTGGTGGAAGTAGACCTGA